TTGAGTATCCCATAGACTGCTAAAAAGAACAGATAAGTCTTGGAAAAGGTGCAGCCAGACTGCTGCTCCTTGGATGCAAGGATGGTGAACCTTCCTCTCTCTCATATACTTTGGGCTTGTTGCTAGGAGAGGTCATTCCTTGGACAGGGATGTCATCCTTGGAAAGGTGGAGGGTCTCAGAAAAAGAGAGGAAGACCCCTAATGAGATGGATTGACATGATGACTGTGGTAATAGGCTCAAGTGTGTCAGTGATAATGAAAATGGCACAGAATAGGACAGGATTCAAGTGTATTGTTTATAGGGTCACTTTAAGTCATACTCGACTCAACAACACCTAACAACAGCAGCAACCATACGATGATTTGTCTACTTGACTCTTCATGCTGTCTCCTAGTCTATGCTATTCTAAGCATATATTTAACCCAGTTGCCCAGCTTTCCACTCGTAGGCATATATCCAATATCCAGATAAATGTTTATATCCACCAAAGCCTTGTTCTTAATAGCCAAACTCTGATGGAAAGAGGACATTTTTTTAGGAGGGAAATAAGGAGGAAGGAAGGAAAGAAGGCAGACAATCTCAAATGTCAGTCAATACTAGAATAAATAAGTTGTGATAGATTTTAAAAGAAAGAACTATAGATTCACGGAGCAATATGGGGCACTCTTGTTGAGTGAAAAAGTCCAGGCATGAAACATATGGAGAACACTTAGGTTATTTATGTCTCTCTCCAGAACACTTCATTGTGCTTATGTGAAGCCTATACTTGGGCCAGGAGGCAGTCAACAAACACTGCTTGTTCTAAAATCAAGAAAGGTAGGGTAGCTCTGGTGGCCTAGTGGCAAGGAGCTGCAGCTACAATCCCAGAGGTGCACGGTTCGAATCCACCAGATGCTCTGCCAGGGAAGGAGGGACAATCTCCTCCTGTACCAGTCAGATCTGATTTGACGGTACACACACAAAAACAATAAAAAAAAATAAAATAAAATCAGGAAAGGTGTATACCAGGGATGCATCCTGTATCCATACCTTTTCAATCTATATGTGGAGCTGTCATCAGGGAGGATGGACTGTATGAAGAGGAATGTGTCATCAGGATTGGAAGAAGACTAAGCAACAACCTGCATTATACAGATGACACAATCTTACTTGCTGAAACTGAGGAGAACCTGAAGCACTTGCTGCAGAAGGTCAAGGACTGAAGCCTTCAATGTGAATTGAAGCTCAACACCAAGAAGATAAAGATTCTCACCAGTAGGCTGATTGGCAGCATCATGATAGATGGTGAAGAGATTGAGATTGTTAACAGCTTCTGTTTGCTTGGCTCCACAGTCAACACTCTTGGTACCAGCAGTCAGGAAATCAAAATACTAATTGCTTTGGGAAAATGCTGTCAGGGACCTCTCCAGAGTACTGAAGAGCAACAATGTCAATCTGGATACTAAGGTGCACCTAATCCGGGCTGTAGTCTTCACAGTTACTTGCTATGCATCAGAGATCTGGACAATGACTAGGGATGATAGAAAGAAAATTGATGCCTTTGAACTGTGGTGTTGGAGAAGAGTATTGAATATACTATGCACTACTAGGAAAACAAACAGGTCTGTCCTGGGGAAGGTGAAATCAGATTTCCCCCTTGGAGGCAAGGATTCTATAGCAATCTCTGACATTCTTTGGGCGGGTTGCCAGGAAGGACCAGTTCTTGGAAAAAGACATCATGCTTGGGAGGGTGAAGGGACAACGCAGGAAACCCTTGATGAGATGGATTGACTCTGTGACTGGGGTATTGTAGGTATGTGTGTCACAGACAGTAAGATTGGCTCTGGATAGAACAGAGTTCCGAGCTGTTGTACATAGGGTTGCTGTGAGTTGCAAGCAATCTGACGATACATAACAGCAACAGCAACAGCTAAGCTCCTCAAGGTTAAGGACCATTTCTTTGTACCAGTAAATCTCTAGCATGTAGCCCATTAGCAAGCATATAGTAGATATTTTATGTGTATTTCTTGGAATGGAGAGTATATGACTTAAAACAAGCCATGGCAAAACACCAGTTGTGAAAACATTGGGAAATACAGAGAAAAACACTTTTATTTTGAGATTATTTCTATCAGAGTACAGCATGTTAAAATACAGTGTAAATTGACATTTGGTTAGCTGTGACCATATGATGGTGGTATTCTAGAATTTTTCTAGTTATATAGCTAACTCAGTCTATCGTTTGGCCATGGAATTAATGTAACCTATTAATGAATTTATTAAGTACAACTGGCCATTCCTTCAATTCATCTTCCTGGGTTCTTCGGGGAGGAGGTTCTCTCAGCTCCTTTCCCTGTTTCTTAATCAGCGGAGCAAGAGTGCTAAAATGACTGGTCAGATTGCAGGACATGGATTGACTCATACTTTTGAAGATGGAACCTTAGGTTTTTAATAAGCTTACACCAGATGTCTGGATCCTTTCCTCTGTCATTGTTGTGTATATCAGCCTTAGAGCTCAGTGAGATAGTAAGTTTAGGATGGGGAGATGCCATTGCCCTCCCACTTAATTCAATTCCAGAGCAGCTAAGTCCACCTGTGTTGAGATGAGACACCCTATTACCACTGGATTCTGGATTCAGTGTAGTTTATTAGAGGGGTAGGTTGAAATTTGGGGTGCCTCTGCTCTAATAATAAAATTGTACTTTCCTACTTTTGTGTGTTTAATGTACTTAGGTATCTTCCAGGAGATAGGATGATGAGACCAAGGTGGAATTTGTGTATTGCTGCTCTCCTGGCCACAGACCGTTAACGATTCTGTAATAAGGCCTCTCTCTAATGCACCTCTTCCCTCACTCCTAACTTTCTCCTTGCCATGCATATTTAGGCATTCATAGATGGTATTACTTCTTGTTATTCTTGAAAGTTTATCACATGGAAAAACCTTGAAATCTGAGGGAAAAGTTTATCTATTTTTCGAAAAAGACCTACCTACACTGCTAATTATACCCCATGTGGGCCAGTTGAATTCTAGTTCCGAGGGAGTTTTCAGAAAAAATTGACAATCAATTTTCAATTATCTGTGGAAACACTGGCTACTCAGTTGCAATTAACACAATTTTGAGGGAAGAAGAAGCAAGCTGATTTTCTTAAGTATTGATCGACAGGATTTCTGTTCTTCTAATAGAATGTTCTCATCGACAATGTGATAAGACATGGTCTTAACCACTTAAGTGGGTAGGAAATAACATTTGATAGTGTCATTTTATGAAAAAGCACTTATGAAGTGCCAAGCATGTGATGCTGAAATGAGAACTCACCTATTATGGAAGACGGATCCTTAAGCTAATACAGTTTGTTATCAGTGAAGCTTATGGAAAGGTTTTCTTTTACTTCAGGTAGAGAAAAACCTTGTTTGGTTTTTTAAAATAAGAAATTATCAGCCAAGTGTACAACTTTGACCTCTTATACTTTTACTTTTTTCTCAGAAAGCCTTTTCAATAAACTGGCTGAACAAGACTTAAATTTCATGTTTACCCTGTTAGGTTGTAAAGCATTAGTTTATATGACAATAAATGGCAAAGTGATTTGCAAAAAAATATAACAAGAACTTCTGCTTCTCTCTCTCTCTCTCTCTGTGTGTGTGTGTATGTTGTTAGTATGTGTTAACTTTTAATGACTTTCTGTCTTCTGGCTCATTTTTTCCAAATTAAAAAGTTGCCTCTTACGTATTCAGTTGTAGGTTGAAAACATACCTAACCATTATTAGGGAACCCTGTGCAGGCTATAGGGAGTGATACTGCTAATTCAGAGGTGATGCCTGTCTAGTGGTCAAATCCACCAGCTGCTCTGTGGGAGAATGATGCGTAGAGTATTCCCCAAGCCTTTTACAGCCATTGAAAACTGACTGGATGGTCAGCTGAGACGGCTCTGAGTAGCAGTAAGTGAGTAAGTGAGAGTGTTTTGAATCCAGCAAATACACTCTTTTAATAACCTGGTTCTCATTGTACTCTAATTTTCATTTGTGAACTGAAATAAATCTTTGTTTATAACAGAATATTTTAAAAATTAGACATCTTGAGAATGTGGGGTGGGAATAGTTTGTTTTTACCTTTCTGTTGTTGTCTTGGAGCCTTGGTAGTGCAGTGATTAAAACACGTGACTGATAACTAAAAAGTTTGCCACCTGAATCCATTAGCAACTCACAGAAGAATGTGACGGTCCACCTTGGTAAAGACTTACAGCCTTGGAAACCCCATAAGGTGGGTTTACTCAGACCTGCAGAGTTGCTGTGAGTTACAATTGACTTAATTGTGGTGGTTTAGTGATAGAGTTCTTCCCTTTTACAGGAGGTTCTACTCCCGGCTATATGGCACCATATGCGTATCCAGTGCCAATCTACCAATTGGAGCTTTTTAATGTTGTAAGATACTGAACTGGTTTCATCAGAATTTACAGTCTAGGCCAGCCTAGGAAGAAAGACCTGGCAGTCTGCCTCCACAGATCACCCAGTTAAAACTCTATGGATCACAAAAGCGGAATCTGCAGATTATCTTGGAGTTGGTGCAGACTTTAGCAGTATTTTGTTGTTGTTTGTTTTGTTTAGGTTTTTCTGCCATGCACTGGGTTGACATGGGTTGGGGGTGAACTCTATTGCCGTTAGTACCAACAACAAAGTCTTGTCTTGGAATTATTTACTCTTCTTTTTTTTCTTTTACTTTATTTTTATTATATTTTTTATGAATGTCTACAGAAAAGTTGAATTTTCATTCATTCATCGTTGCACATTTATAATTGTTTATTCTTAGCATCCACCTGGCATATTGGTACTATGAAATCCCCAGTATTGAAAGAGAAGACATCTCACAATGAAAAAGATACATTCTCGTATATGCAAAAAGCCACAGAGTGGTAACTTGAAATTACAGATACAGAAAGAGATAATGAGGTGTTGAAACCCAATCTCAGGGAACCCTTGAGTACTGTCTCATCTTCTTACCTCAGTTTGTTGCTTGCTTTGCAGTTCAACTCGACAGCCAAGCAGCTGATAGAATGGGACAAGCCTCCTGTTCCAGGAGTAGATGCTGGAGAATGTCCCTCCATGGCAGCCCAGAGCAGCAGTGCCACAAAGCACTCCGACACGAAGAAGAACACCAAAAAGCGGCACTCCTTCACCTCCCTCACCATGGCCAACAAGTCCTCCCAGGCCTCCCAGAACCGCCACTCCATGGAGATCAGCCCTCCTGTCCTCATCAGCTCCAGCAACCCCACCGCTGCTGCTCGGATCAGTGAACTCTCTGGGCTTTCCTGCAGTGCTCCTTCTCAGGTAAGTCATCAAAAAGGCATAAAAAAAGAAGCTTAACCACAAAATGATCCACTTATAAATATATTCTGCTCACCGAAACAGTGAACCAAATCAGTCGACAGTGGGTTGATCCTTCCTCATGGCCACCCGAGTATGCGAGAGTAGAACGAGGCCCCGTACTGATTCCAGTGACTGGAGTACTAGGTCTTTCTTCCAAGGTTCCTCTGGATGGATTTGAACTTCTAATGTTTTAGCTAGCAGTCGAGTGCATTAACTGTTTGTACTAACCAAGGCTTCCTAGCTGAAAAATAATGTTTATTTTAGCCTCTTGAAGAGAGTAGCTTTTTCTGGAAAGAAAGCATTTCTTGATTTTTGAGGGGGGAGAATGGAGAAGGAAAAGCTAACCTGCGCATATTCCCCCACAACCGCTCAGTCATTTATAAAGGAAAGATCAGAACTCCTGAGATGCTGATTCACCAAGTAATCACTCAGTTTTATAGTCCTTCTCACAATACTGCTTTGGGAGGCTTTGCCAAGTAAAACTTTATCTCCATTTTGCAGCTGCCTTTATTTATGTCACTTACCTTGGTATTTAAGCTTTCTATTTAGAATTATCGAGAATGTGGAGAAAGGATGTGAAGAAATGTTTAATTTAAATTATAAATTAGCCCAGCATTCTTTCAAAGCTCATTAGTTTATCAAGGCTTTGGATTGTCTTTTAAAAATAGCTGCACTTTATTCTTGTGTTAATAAAAACACACATCATGGTTGGGAATGTCTATTCATTTGGCCTATATTTATTGTGTTATTAGACCATTTTAGGCACTGTGAACACCAAGATAAATAAAAAAATGGTCCTTCTGGACTTCGCTGTATGAAGCCTTCATTGTAGACTGGAAAATGAGCCAAATTGTGGCCCCGCCTGACTTACAGTGTTGGAGTAATTATAATTAACCTATTTCTCTCTAATAATGATCCCACATAAATAATGCACCCACAAATACAGTGCGTGGAAATAATGATGTTAAATTAAACAGTCCTGGCATATCATGAATGTTACTTGCATAAAAATATGTTATTTGATTAGATGGTGGTGGTATTTCACTCAACCAGAGGTCAGGGAGCCTAGTCCACAGCTGGCTACAACAAGCAGGGGAAACTTCTTTCAAGGCTCCTTTTTAATTTTTATGATTCATGCAGATTGTACCTTCTACTCTGTAGCTGTGCTTCTTAAACTATAAAAATAGAATGATCCTCTCTAAAAAAGGAAGCAGACACATGGAATCAGTACTCAGGAAGTTTATAGTTTACTAAGAGCCAGTTTGTAACCATAAAATTAAAAATTACAGTACCATTTTTGGTGTTCCTTTCTTATTAAAAATTATTTTCTCTCAGCATTTCTTTAACTCCTGCTGCTGTAAATTAATACTTGTGAGTTAATTGTATTCACTTTGTGAATGGGATTGAGGTTTGCTGGTCTTTTAGGTGATAGAACAATGAAACTTTTTTATCTTATGAGAGAAATAGGACATGCCTGTGCACACCCATTCACACAAACCCAATAGTAGCACATGAGGGTGATGAGACAGAGGGGTTTAGTTTGCTCACTGATATATCTCAAGGAGCTCTGTTGGCCTAGTGGGAAGAAGCTGTGCTTCAATCCTGAAGGCACACAGTTCAAATCGACCAGTTTACTAGTTGTTCCCAGGGAGAAGGATGGGCAGTCTCCTCCCATGAGATTAACTGCTTCTGAAAACCACCAGAGGGTACACAACAACAGTATATCTCAAAAGGCAGCATACAGTATGCTTACAGTAAGCATTTAATGAACGGATTAGTACTTTAAAAATACATAAAGATGAGAGAACGTGTTATTCTATGCATATCTACCAATATCCCTATGAAAACTAGACATGGATCCGAGGCCACAACAGGTAGTACTAAGTGAGGTCATATCAGAAGTTTCAAAGCTAAGATAAAGTTCTGAGTTAGAGGACTGTAACAGTGGCCATTCACTAATAGAAAATGGAGTCATTTTGACTCTGAGTTATTTATTGTATGACCTACCAGCAATCAGCATTTGCACAATGAGATGTTTTCTTGAAATAAAAAAATAAACAATGATGGCTCAGAATAGGAACAGCTTTAGAAAAGCAGCTCCTGCTTTTGGCAGTAGATAAAAATGAAAAGAGAAAGAGAGATAAACTTAGCCTTACATCTTTTGAAGAGAGCTCCACAGTCAGGTGTGAGCATGCCTCTTGCCTGGCTCTACCACCCCAGAGCTGGGAATGAAGCCTTTAAAATAGAACTATTTTTTATTTGGTTTGAGTAGCTTAGCAAACAAAGCTCTTTCTGTATTTCATTAAAACAGTTTCCCCTTCACCGATTCCACCCCTCCTCCCAGATCCCAGCTCCTTCTGTTTTCAGTGGGAGTGTGTTGCCTAAGGGAGAAGTTATTTCTAGAAGAGGCTGGGAGATGTTTGAAGTGCTGCCTGGTTTCTCCAGTCTAGGTTTACAGAAAACACTACTGATGAGGTGCTGTGTACTTTGGAGGGAACCCCAGTCCACAATAAAGCATTGAGTATGTGGAGCACATGTGATATGCAAACACTCGCCTAACTGTGGAGATCAGTGCAGATGGGAAAATGTTTCCCGGGACAGAGACTTCTGCTCCCCTGCGTACAAAGCATCTCAGTACATTCAGTGGAGACCCGTTGCTAAATGTCTCTGTTAATTGTCCTTAGTTCTGTTTTCTTTTTACTTCCTTATGATCACCTTTATGTTAAGCTTCCCCCACCCCTTCTATTAGTATTAGCCTTGTTTTCATATATTGTTGTTGTTAAATGTTGTTAAATGCCTTAAAGGTGTATGTGACTCATAACAGCCCATAAATGTGGACAACAGATCTGAACCCTGTCCTGTCTTACACCATCCTTATTATCCCTGGCACTTGAGCCCATGGCTACAGTCATTATATCAATCCATCTCACTGGGTGTCTTTCTCTGAATCTCAACTTTTCCAAGCATGATGCCACTTTTCAAGGAATAGCCCCTCCTAACAGCATGCGCAAAGTATGAGAGATAAAGCTTTGCTATCCTTGCACTTAAGGAGCACTCTGGTTGCATTTTCTCTAAGAAATATCTGTTTGTTCTTTTGGCAGTCCATGGGATATTCAATACTCTTCTCCAGCACAACGCAAAGGCCTCGATTCTTCTTCTGTCTTCCTTGTTCACTGTCCAGTTCTCAGATGCATAGCAGATGATTGGAAAAAACATGGCTTGCTTGAATCTGGCATCTATTTTAAGTTTATATCTATTAAAAGTTGCAAAATCAAGAATTTAAAGAAGTTAGTGTTCATTTTTCTTCAAATACTCAGATACAAGCAGTTCAGTCCAGTAAGGTAGATCTAGAAAGACAGTAAAGCACCTTCTAGCTCACCCGTCCACCATGTAGACAGTCTTGCTGCTTGTATTTCTCTACGACCCACTGTAGCCCTAGAGCTCTCATCATCACAGTCAAATTCCAGGCAGCAGGATGGTGAGCAAGACTGGAGAATGGAACAGTGGGCACCTTTCCTGCAAGCTGTCATACAACATTTCTATTAACTTGACATTGGCCTCAACTTTACCATATGACCACATCTAACTGCAGAGGAGGATGGCAAACACAGTCTTTTTCTGAAACTGAAATCTGAGAGCTCCACTGCTAAGATAGATGAGGATTGTGGGTACTGAACCACACTAACACTGCCGTATCTCTCCTGTTCTTTTTGGGGAAATTGTTTACCCAGATATTCAGCCTTTCCAGAAAACCTTCATGTTTCATGCTCCATTCTGTTCTTTGGTTCCTTTAAAGGATCATCTCTGCTGTCCACTTAAAGCCTCACTTCTTTCTTCTTGGCACAATTGTGTTAGAGTTTATCTCTTTTAAAGACAATGGATTTGAAATGGGTTGGTTTTTTTTTTATTGTTGTTGTTATATGCCACTGAGTCACTTGCGACTGATAGCAACCCTGTGCACAGCAGCCCTGAAACCTACTCCATCCTATGCCAGCTTTACTGTCTCTGAAATACCCACCCACCTTACCCCAGTCACTGTATCAATCCATCTCATCGATGTAGACACTAAGTAAATTGCCCAACTTTGCACAGTTCTTAAGTGTGGTTCAAGCCCTGGTCCATCTGATTCCAAAGGCTTATGTCCTTGTTAAATCCAGATTAACAACAATATTTGTTCTTAAGAAAAATATCATTAAGAGGTAATGGTGGTACCAGTAGAGCCTAACTCCCATGAGTTTTGCAGACTATCCTGAGGCCTGTGGGGGACGGGAGGGGAGGGAAGAAAGTAATTGTAGAAATAATCATAGTGATAATAGTAGATTAGATGTATATCTGTATGAAATACATCTAGTAAGATCGCAGGGCATCTAGAATACCACTTATTTTTTTATCTGAAAGCCATACGTTTACTGGGTATTGGATTCACTTTTTATGTGTCATGTAGCTAAATTATCGTGAGATACTTGTTATATGACTCCCATAGATAAGACTTCACTGTATTTCAGTGTTTTCTATTTTCCGTTAGCACTTCCTTTTAACATTTCCATGAAGGCCACACTCTCTGCTTGCTTGTTGTTACATTTGGTGATTTTTGAGTGTAGGCTTAACTTTTAGTATATACATTGGGGGATAGCTTTGACTTACACACAATGCTGACCAGAGAAGTCAGCAGAAAGATGCCTGCCATTGCCATCTGTGGGCAGAAGAAGACTTGTGTACTCCTCTGACCACACTCATGGTATATTTTGACCTCTTCCAGCTGGAAGAGTAATTAATAACAGTAAGTGTTTTGTGACATTTGGTATGCCAGTGGTCGCAAGGCAACAAGCAGGCCCACTCACTCACTTGTATTACATTCCCAACTTTCTCATCTCTGGTTAGCCTTTCATGTAGAGAAGACTGAGCTGACTTGCAGCTCCATGAGAAAAAGATGAGTCCAGCAGAAGCTCAGAGCCTTACACAGAATGTGTATTCTGAATATACCTTTCCATGGCCAGTTAATTTCTGCTTCTGGTCTGTTGCTTTAGTGCTTTTTTGATTCCTGTCTTGTATTTGACTCAAGTGCTAGGAATGGCCCTACATTTCACTGGTGGTTGTCATAATTGTCCCTATTCAGTCTTTCAGCACAGACTTTAGAGAACCTATTGTATAAATTCTCACCAGGACCCTCAAGTGCAAAGTGACTCATTCCAGACCCTGAGCTAACAGCAGCTAGTTTTCCTGCCAGCCGCTACAATGCTGAAACAGGTTTCTGACAAACTTAAAGAGTAAGATGGAAGAAAAGTCTCACAATTTACTTTAAAAAATCAGCCTTTGAAAATCCTCTGGATCACAGCAGCTTATCCAGACCTACGTGTGGGGATGGCAGAGAACAAGCAGCAATTCCTTCTCTCATGTAGAGGGTTACAGAGAGTCAGGGTTTGATACCAGCTAATAAAAAAAAACCAACCTGGTCCTCAGTTTGAGGCTCTTTTCACCGTCACGTATTTCTTTCTTACAGGCAGATATGTCAGTAATGAGATCATTAACAGATATTTGTAGGGTTAGGGTCCGGGAAGCAATGTTGTGGTTGTTTCCACCATGACCCAAAGTTCCTTTGGTAATCATGTCTACCCAGAGGTGTGGACATCACTGTTTCTTCTAACAAAGGTTGATTTTGTGCTGCCAACATGCCCATGTCCTCAGAACTGTGTGTGGGCTCATTGGATTAAATAATGTAAGACTATTGAGTTTTATTCTAGAATGAAAACCAGTGTGCATCCTGTTAGAAATTGATTTGAAATAGACTTGGTTCACAGGAGAGACACAAAGTGTGGATTTTACTGGGAAACTTAGTGGCACCCCATGGATCAACTTAGTTTTCTGGCTTAAAATCAGTCAATATATAGACTAACAGACACACATAATTTTGAAGGAAATGGATTCCACATATAACACCAGATTTATTTGTGAAACTGAACTCTGTACTGTGATGCTGATTATCCCTGAGCTTGACATAGCCTTACTCTGTGGGAAGCTAGATGTTTCTTCAAGACTCCCTGGGAACCAATCTGTGAACTTTTCTTTGTCCTAATAATCTTTTTCTTAATTTATGGGGATTGAGGAAACTATGCTTTGTATTAAGTTTTTATTACAGAAAGAAAAGCTTAGCATTTTGATGTCTTGAGTGTTTTTGTCGGGGGAAAAGTACCAAGCTACCTGCATACCTTCCATAGGAGAGGTAAAAACAGAAAACAAAGCACTGCACTTAGGTAGGAGCCCACAGGCCTGCCTTTATAGCACCAGGTTTTATATATACCACTGCATTCTGCAGTTGGACATGATGTGCAGCTTGAGTGAAATTGATCGAGTAGCTGAGCCCAGGCGATGAAATGACCTGCGTAACTCAATTTCTTTCTAGTAAATTAATCTTGGGTTGTATCATGGATAAGACATCTTTGAAAACAACTAATTTGACTTGACATTGTTCTTTAGAGGGCTTATAAATAATTGCTATAGGCATGTCTATGCAGCTGCATTTTATTTATGTGGCCCCACTTTTTAAAGGTAGAGCCATGAAAAATGATCCTAAAAATAGCAAGATAGTTGGAGAATTTAATACAGATTTAACATTCTGATCGACAGCTGAGCATTCAACCACGCCACCTTAACAGGGTCTTTAGGGAAATTGTTAGCAGACTAACCAGAAAGGTCCAAAATTTTGGGCTCCTGGTGGTTCCCAGAACGAGGCAGCATGTTTCTCTGAAAGCTAACAGCAGTAGATTCTGTATGTTAAGTATCTTGGTGACCAGTATTTATAACATTTCTCTCCAGCATCTGAAATAACTGATAAAAATTAGAAAGCACACTTCAGCTCAAGTCCTGATGTTGTTGTTGTTAGGTGTGGTCTAGTTGACTATGATTGATAATAGCCTTAGGAACAACAGATCTGAATCTTGCCCTAACTTGTGCTACCCTCGTTATCTATGTCATGTTTGTTTTATTGTTAAGTGCTGTTGAGTTGTAGATGACCCATAGAGACCCTATGAATGAAAGACCTGAGCACTGTTCATAGAGTTTCTGGAGGCAAGCCATTTCGGAAGTGGATGCCGCTCCTGCTTCCAAGCTTGTTTTAATCAGAAAGCTCCACCAAACACTGTCCACCATGGGTACCTATTACCACGTTTGGCACATCAGTGTCAAGCATCACAGCAACCACGAGTTACCTCTCTAGAGCAATGCACAGACCAGTGCTATACCACTTAGAAGAATGTTTGACAGAAAAACAATTTAAACCTAAAGTATTTTTAAATAGGAAGCCTTATCGCATCGCCTCACTTCCCTTAGCAAATCAACATTCCACGCTGCTGCTCATCAGTCCCAGCCAACAGCTTCTGTAGAACCAGCTCCTGTAGATGACTTTCAAACTGGTCTCCAGCGCCAGGCTGCCAACCAAAAAGGGTTAAGCCTATCACTAGAGTTACCATGTCAGTCCATCTTATTGAGGGGTTTCCTCTTTTTTAGCTGACCTTCTGCCTTTCCCAGCATGAAGTCTTTTTCCAGGGACACAAGCCATTAAATTGCTCACTGTTATCCCAAGTGTTGGAGGTTCAAATCTACCCACAGACTCCTCTGAAGACAGATCTGGTGATCAGCTTCAGAAATAATCAGCCACAGAAAACCATATGCAGTGGGTTTTTACTCTGACACACATAGGATCGCCCTGAGTAAGGGATGACATAAAAACACTTGCGTAAATTTTAATTGAATAAACTGAAAGAGATTCTGTGTAATCCCAAAGTAGTAGAACCTATAGATTAAGAAAAATAAATTGTGACTTGTTTTCCTGTGTATAACCTATTGTATGAAATCTAGTTCACTTAATAACTTTCTTCTGTTGTCTCGCAGGTTCACATAAGTACCACTGGGTTAATTGTGACCCCACCCCCGAGCAGCCCTGTGACCTCTGGCCCCACATTTACTTTCCCTTCAGATGTTCCCTACCAAGCTGCCCTTGGAGTGAGTATACTTTCTCACATTTTTATTTCTCTCTTAGTTAGCCATGGGAATCTGGCACGTGACTCCCAACACCTGCAGTTCACTGTTGATACTTACTATGTGGGGTGGATCTCTGTCTTTTTAAGCTATCTCTTTTAGTCTTACAGAAAAAATTAGAAGGTCCTTTTCCTACAGCCTACAACATTTTTAACTGTGATGCTCTGTGGCCTGAAGCTATTAGAAGAGCTCTGAAAAGTATTCTTCATTTTATAAAAGTTCAACCTGAATTTCTGAAAGGTTAACCTATAAATAGCTTTTCAATTTCTAGATGCTGGTTATTGCTTACAAAGGCCACATTTATAGAAATACTGGGGTGGCTGAGGCCCTCAAGGTGAACTGGTTTACACTCAAGTGGCACAGTAACTCGGTACTAAATATCTACATTTAGAACTCATCCTTTTTAGGTGGCTGTTTTCTCTTGGTACCCCCACAGTTATGGCCACCTGGAAATACCGGTGGCGTTGGAAGGCTCCCTTTTGTTATGTTGCTTTTCCTTCTGAGAACATACCATCTTGTAGATTACTGTTGTTGCTATGTACACTAGAGTCGGAACTGACTCTTAACTGGCCCTCTAGCAGGTTTTCAGAGACAGTAAATTGTATGGGAAGTGATTGCCCATCTTTCTTCCATGGAGCATCTGGTGGATTTGAACCATGAGCCTTTGGTTTGTAGCACAACTCTATGCTTGCATACATCTGAAGGAGGAAATTAAATGGTTAGGTCATCGAAGGGAGATAAATACAAGGAAGAACATTGTAGAGAGAGAATTAAAAGAGAATAAACAAGTGACTATAGCCCTAGGTAGCAGAAATGTAGTACTGTACTTTGAGACTATTTTTAAAATTGTCGGCAATAAAACTATAAAACTATAAGGAAGTAGACAGGTGAGACATCTCCCATCCTTGCAAATGCCTTGCTTATTCCCTTCGATTATTTTCCCCCAGCTCTATGGTGAATTCATGGTGTTGACCGATGTTTGAGAGTTTGCACCTAGATACACTGAGTCAGACTCTACAGTTTAACAGGATTTCCAGGTGATTTTTATAGATTCCTAGATGATTCTTATGTATACATAAGATTCCATAGTATATCTGGAGTAGAAATGCAAGATCTTGGTAGGAGTTTGAACCAGAACGAATCCATTTGAAGCCCTACATGAATAAGAATATTTATAAAAAAAAAACAACAAACAACAAAACAAAACACAAAAACATCCCCTAACTCATTATTGTTAAGTCAGAACTGAATTGGTCCTTCAGCGGGTTTTTTGCGGGACTGTAAAACTCAAGGCAGGATTCATCTTTGTCCTGCGGTATCCCTGGTGGATCTGAAATAGAAGCTCTGCCTCTGGGTTAACAGTGCAATGCCTTAAGAATTAGACTACCAGATAGGAGCAGTTATTAGATCACATCAGCACCCAGGTCCTAGTGTGTTGCCCCACCTCACCTTTGCAAATCGCCTTACGTACTATCACCTGCTTGTGATATCCTTCCCCACTCATCCATCAGTTTGTTGTGCTGCTATGATGATAAAAAGCCACTAGTATTTCAAATACCAGCTTTTCATCCATGGTGAACATGATTTCCATCAAGCTTTCAAACTGATGCTTTCTAGGAAGAGAAACCTGGTGATCTGCTTCCAAAAATTAGCTAATGAAATCTCACAGCAGAAAATGTATTTCATATGATGCTAGAAGGCGAGTCCCCTAAATTGCAAGCCACTCAGAGTACACAGTGGCCACAGCAGAGAGTCTGAGCATCCCATGATTGGGAAGATAGTGCATGATAAGGCAGTGTCCTGTTTGTTATATATAACATTGTCAGGTATTGTAGCTGATTTGAAGGCAGCTAACAACAACATGATGTCCTCCGAGAAAAACAGTGGAAGTCACTGATGGGGCGCAGATGTGAGTACTGAAGCCCAGGTCAATCACTTAATTGTTATGTAACCACTTAATGCCATTTACTAAGCCTTAGAATTACTGCTGCAGAGTTAGTATGACCCACTCTAGTAGTTATGACTAGAATGTAGAAAGGGTTAACTATCCTTAATCTCATTATTACCGTCTCTTGAGGATTGTCACAAGGTGAGTGTGTCCATAACATGTGTCTCTAGTTTTACTCTGAGGATGTCTTGGAGGGCTTGATCATTATATTTTCTTTGCTCTCTGTACCAAGAATTGTGAAGCTTCCAAGCAGCTGGTTTGTTTTTCAGCAATGGATTTTATATATGTTGTAAAGATTATATTTCTCTCTGCTAGAACACTTAAATGACATTTATAGCTGCTGCCCCATCCCCAACCTCCAGCAAAGACCTTACAACATATTAGTCAAAATGTTGGTTCCATCTAGTTTTATTGTCTTCCTTTTTCCTTTGCTTTGTTTTTCTTGTTTTGTATTTATTTTGTCTTGACGCATTTTAAACATAATTGAAAAGCTTTGAAAGAAGGTGGTATATGAATAAATGCCAAGTTTCTATCTAGCTTGACTAAATGACTTCTGAAAACTTTTTATAGAGTTAGGCATGTTCTTGTATTTAAATGGAAGTTAGTAATATCCCAGTTAAGCTTAAAATTTTTCCTGTGTTTACTGAATTCTATTGCATATTCCCTGATAAGGACAGCTTTGATGAAGGGGAGAGGGGGAGAAAATGAAGTTCAATTAACTTTTATTGAAATGTGGTTTCCAGGAGATACTGCAGCCCTCGGGTGTTTTGGCCAAAGCCAAGTCCATAATCGTCCTAGCCTCTCATCCCTAGGGAAGACTCTATTTTCCTTCATTCCCTTCCCACCCCATACATGCATACAGCCAGTTGGTCTTTTATATTTCCAGATGACTACCTCAAGTGGAAAAATGCTAACTTGATTTCTTAAGGGAGAAAAGACTGACTTTTCTGATCCTAGAAAAATTAATTAGTGGAAAAGACATAAGGCTGGCTGTGCTTCAGGCCTTGTGGGCTGAAAATGTTCAATCTTGTAAATGGCCAGTTGCTATTAACTTTGGGCTCACTCTAGGGCACATCAAGAGACAAATTGGAACATGAATTTAGAAAAAATAATTTACATTCACTGTTTTATCCTCAGATGATATAGGTCAGATACATGTTAAACAATAAGAGGTTTATAAAACATTGTGTCTGCTGTGCCAATTCATTTAATGAAACACTAATTATAAACAGACCTGCCATCCCCAGGAGATGTCTGGATCTCACTATCCCTGGTAGGTTGGAAGGAATGTTTTCGATTTGATATGTTTAAGTGGCAGCATCTCAGTTGTGTTAAGTGGCAGCATCTCAGTTGTATGTGCCCCCTGCATCTCACATTAATTGTGGCAAGTGTTCTCTTTAAAATTTGACACACTTCCCTAGACTTTGAGCACGATCACAGCAACACTGTGCAGCTTTGCAGAAAGGAAGCAATACTTCTCATGATGTCGGCTTCTAGGTAATAAATGCCACCACTTGAATAGGAAGTGAACATTATCTCTAGTGCTTTTCCCAGAAGCTGAGATGAGACATTCTAATCTTGCATGCAGAATGAAGTTATAAGCAGGGTGTCTCATACTCTTCACATACAGCAGCCAAAATGTTAATTGTCTTCCATCACAAGTTAAGCTGGTGTTATGTCTATCTGATTCAGCCATCAAAATATCAATGGGTGGGTTTTCGTTCAGATAACTTTGTGGAGTGAGAAAGAAGAAAATCTTATATTTTATATTTTATATTTTCTGTGCAATGGAAAGGAAGATATTGCAATGAGGAACTTAATACCTCCTGATCAGGCAGGTGATTCATCATCTCTGAAGTATATGAACTGAGAGGTGTTGAATTGCGAGGTTTCACATGGTAACCAGGCCTATTAGGATAAGTATAACCCATTGGCAACTTAGGAATACTTGCCGTCTAAATGCTTGTAACCTACTTTGTGTGAATTTCGGAAAATAAAAATATGCATACAGAAATATAGAATATGTGTTTGTGTGTTTAAAGAAACAAATAATGTTTCTGTGTTATCTAAAACAATGTACTTAGCGAGTTCTAGTGGTCAAGCAGTAAGGAGTTGTGCTGCCAACCCAAAGGCGTAAGATTCAGATCCACCGGCTGCTCTGTGGGAGAAAGATGGACAGTCTCCCCTCGTGCAGTTTACTACCTGTCTCTGAAAACCCACTGGAGGGGCCAGCTGGGAGTCTGTTCTTACTTGATGGTACAGGACAACAATCTGTGTAGCTTTCTGTGGCTCATGTAGTAGCAACAATAGGACTCTTTCAGGAACCCTCTTGATCTTGAACACCAGACTAAGGAGGAGATAGAATGACAGAACATTTGATCATTATTTATTTATTCAAGAAACATTTACTGAGAGGATCTGTTATCACTGGTTGAAAGCTGGTAGTGGTGGGGTTGGTTGGTTCTGACTCCATGTGTGTGGAGTAGAACTGCTCCATAGAATTTTCAAGACCTTTTGGAAACAGATCAACAGGTATTTAGAATCTGAGGAACCCCAGAGCAGGTTCAAACTGCCAACCTTCCAGCTAATAGTCAAATGCTTAGCTGCTCCCTTCACCCAGGGACTCCTGGCTGCAAATCTAAGTTCCAGCAACCCAACAACACTGTGCCCCAGATCCTGGAAAAGGCAATTTATGTAATTATTTCTAATTATTCCTATTGACTCAGGCTTACAGATTTATGGACCTAATATTATTTACATAAAATCAATTAACTGTTATAAGATCTCTCTGTCTCTGTTCTTACAAATCCAATATACGACAATAAATCTCTGATTTCTAAAAGAAATTTTATTCCTAGAGAGTTGTGTGGGTTTTTTTGGTTTTTGGAGTTTTTTTAATTTTCGTATTCTCTTTTATACATAATATTTTAAACATGTGCTTCTGGGATATTATAACTACCTTTTCCCTGTAATTTTTCTTTATTTCTTCACAGCTGGACTCACAGTTAACTGGCTT